GCAGGCCAGTTTTTGCTTTTGCTTTAGATTTTGACTTTGTTAACTACTAGAAGACTAGAGGAAATATTAGTTACATTAATGGAAACAAAAACACTCTCCCTAGATTTATTTATTTATTTTTCTTTCCTTTTTCTTTTTCCTTATGTATTTTTTATTTATTTGTTTGTTGTTTCCTGTTTTGCTTCTTTTTCTTTTCTTCTCCTTCTTTCATTCTTATTGTATGGATATTTCAGTTGTTTAAATATAGAAAAAAAAAAGAAAAAATATATGTACTGACAGATAGCTGAAGTTGATGGTATTATATAGTGATTCCAAAAATGTCAATAAAAAAATAAAAAATAACAGATCAGACGTGGTCTGAGGAAAAGAAATAAATCGGTGAATGGTTGATATACTTACATGAATTTTGGTGGATCCGCTGAGGTCCAGAAGAATAATCAATGCGGACTGTGTTGGTTTGGATGTTGATAAATGATCCAGGAAGAATTGCCCTGGGTCTGTGTGTGTGTGTGTGTGTGTTGTTGTTGCTGAGTAACAACATGCACAGTTAAAAGTTGGGCACTGTTCCTTCCTCTTTTTAGTTTCAAAACATGAAGGGTTTTGGTTTCACTTTAAGGTTAGATTAAGAATTACTGTGTGAGGAACGGTTTCATTTTTGACTACGGAAATAATATGCTTACTTTTGGGTCTATGAAAATTGAATTACAGTGGGAAGGGGATCTTCTGAAGGCGCAGGTTGTTTGCTACTGTGAGACAGTGGAGAAAACTTACGAAGTTACCTTCTTTCACCAAGTAAGAGTGGAAGATCTCGTAACATTCTGGTGGGGATGCCGGGGTAAAAAGAGTAAGCTCGGACGAGGAAGTCCGAGAAAAAGACAACTTGAGTTGAGCAATGTGTTTAACTGACTCAGGATTTCAGAGAATCAAGTCAGTTGTGGTCTTGAGTTTTAATGGTAAATTAAATTTGAAGGAATTGATTTTAAAGGAAAATCAATGTTTACCATGTTGAAGTAATTCTGAAGATATTACTAGATGTGCTGTGACACAAGTGAAGAATCAGTTGTGTACATGAGGATACACAATTGTGTTGATATTGATGGATCGGCTGCGGTCCATCTGATAAGTTAATGCTGGGTGCACTGAGACAAGAAACTGTTTTTAAATCATCACTGGCAGCAGTGATATACATGTGCTGAAGATTACTGGACCCGTTGAGGTCCATTTGATGAAGTTCTTGGGCAGATAAATGACAGAAACAGTTTTCAAGTGTGCAGAGAATTAAAAAAAAAAAAACGAACTTGCAGGTTCTCCGTAGTCGGCGCACTGTGTGGACTTATATCAGAGTTATAAGTCCAAAGGTTACACACACAGTTCTTGGGTGTGAGTTACTTCCTCTTTTAATTTTAAACTGTGACACAGGTGTTCATTGAACTAGAACTTCAGCAGTGAATGAGACAGGATTTAGATTAGGTCTAGTTCTGGTAAAGTAAAAGATTATGTTCAAAGTTTTATGCCCTGGAGGCCAAGAGTTGTATATAGAGAAGAACATGACTTAGAAAAGGACATTTAAGGTCACATTTTGTCTAAGATGGGGAGAATTGTCCCATATGTGTTTATTTCTCTTCTCTTTTAAGAGGACATACGCAATTAACTGGGTGCGGTCTACTTCCTCTTTCTGATTCTAAAAAGCATGTTTGATAAAATACTCTTAGGAAAGCGTATTTTGAGTGATTCTAAGTGTGTGAATGTTGTGAGTACTGGATTTGAGTGATTCTGTGTGATTTGTACAAAATAATAAATAAGTAATAATAACACTACGTAGGTTCATAGCAGAGTGCGGGAAAAAGAGGAAGTCTGAGAGAAGAGAGTGTGTGCGTCAAACAGCAAGTCTGAATATAGCTTGTGAGCTGGTGAGAGACGTTGCAACATGAAAGCGGAGGAATTAGAGACTGAATGTCTTAAGAAAAAGTAATAAAATGATATTAATTACATGTTTTAGTGTGTCAGTACAGGTGGACTCTTCTCAACCTAAACACATGGGTACAGCGGCAAAAGGATAGATTAACAGAATTGGGATGAGAAACAGGCCAGGCTTTGGCTTAAAATTTTTACAGTTTGATCTCTCAAACCATTCTGAATTGAGCTGTTAGGAGATCTCTGTCTGTTTTTATGCTTATAGCTTATATCTTACCCTGGGTGTGTTTAATAAAATTAAAAGTGTTGCGCACACACATAAAGAGCATTGAGATTAAGTAAATAAAGATTAAGTAAAGGTAATATAAAGACTAGAGCCCAGAACATGATATGGTGAAACAACTTTGAATGATTAAAGGAACATTAGATGAACACAGTAGATTAGCAGGTTGTGTAGCAGAGAGAGGCTTTTTGTTTTCTATCCTTTACAGGAGAAGATTTCAGGACCACAGCAACCACAGGGGTCGCGAGAATCCTGGAAGCCCGAGAACGAATGGAACCAACCAGAGAAAGGAGAAGAACAGAGCACAAAGACACCTAGTTGTTTACATTGCAAAGAAGATCAAAAGCTTGTTAGACACAGGTTATAATGGGAGCATGAAAGTAATGAGAGGGGACTTTAGGAATAGTTGCAGGATTTTTATGTTATGTAAATTGCCCAAACACAGTGTTCAGGCTGGATATGCGCTACACGTTAAAGGGGGCGAAGAAACCAGGCCTAAGTTTTAAAGATGAAACGGGTTAACTCTGTAGAGGATGTTTCCAAAGGTTGACAAAATAATCTAGAACCTTTTACCAGAAAAGCTAATTGTATCTTTTGGAGGTTACAGTGTGCACTGAGGGAAGTCAGGAGTGGTTTTAAACTAGTTGAAAAGGGGGGTGTAGGAAGTAGATTTAGGGCAGCTCACAGCCCGGCGTAAATGCAAGGTGCTGTCACACAGCTTGATTTATTTGTTTGATAAATTTTTATGACAAAAATAATAAGGAAACATTGAAAACATACAACCCGTTGAGGGGACAGATAGGGTTGGGCAATTGAAAGATTTTGTTTTGTTTAGCATAATTTATTTTGTTATATTTTAGCTTTTAACATGGAACACGCCTCTCTGGAGCTTCTCTCCTGATGCTGCCCCGCCAAAAACCCATCTCCATAGAGACTGTGTCAGCTCCCAAACAGACAAATACAAACTAAAAGCGAGCAAACAAACAAACAAACCATCACAGCTCTTCACAACTTAAACATAAACAATCACAAAGAAAGATCAATACATACATCTGAACTAAAGAGTAAAACAGTGAAATGTGGATTATTAAATATTAGGTTTCTCTCCTCAAAGTCTCTGTTATCTCACCGCAATCGGTCGCAGCAGATGACCGCCCCTCCCTGAGCCTGGTTCTGCCGGAGGTTTCTTCCTGTTAAAAGGGAGTTTTTCCTTCCCACTGTCGCCAAAGTGCTTGCTCAAAGGGGGTCATATGATTGTTGGGTTTTTCTCTGTATCTATGAAGCGCCTTGAGGCGACTTTTGTTGTGATTTGGCGCTATATAAATAAAATTGAATTGAATTGAAGTAAACTTAATGGGATAAATTACAAAGGAGCTGAAAGGTCAAAAAAAATGCAACTTAAGAAAACAACAGCAAATAGAAAAAAACGATGCAATAGAATAGAAAACACAACTTAACCGAATAGAATACCATAGAAATGGTAAAAAACAATCTCACAAAACACAATAGCTGTTAGTCATCATATTGGAAGAGTAGAGAAACCATTTGATGTGAATGAACTTGCTGCTTGTGGAATCGAAACGTCTGACCCCACAAATGATCCCTTGCACCACATATGCAGGTTACATAACAAAACAATTCCTAAAATGTAAATATAGTCTTCAAAGATGTTGCTTGTGAGCCACCTGTAAATATAAAATGAATATCCAAACGCTTCTAAGCTACAAATGGAAATGGTTTATGTAGAGTGTGCAGTGTCTGAGAGAAACTTATGTTCTCTAATTTAAAGTTTAAGAAAATAATGAAGAATAGAAATAAATTCTGGACTCATCACAGAAAGTACAAATATGCAGTGAATATATGAGTTTCTTAAGATAGAATATACCTTTTAAAGTTGTACCTCTTTAAATTTCTGCTCTGCATGAATATATTCTTTAAAACAAACACAATTACCTGCATACATTTTTGTTACATCTGCTAATTATCTCAAGCAACTAGTACCCCAGGCATTCTCTTGCTTAACCCCTGCAAAACATAAAGGCAGACTATGGACTACACAGTTAAATGTGCTAAACATTTTAGAGGAGTTGTAGCCAAAAATTTCAGTTGAGTGCAATTAACTGTTGACATATATGATGAAAATAGAGCTTCAAAGGATGAAATCACCAAGACTGAATGTTGTGAGCTGGAGAAAGCATCCAAAATGAAACGTCTTTAAGAAACACTTTTCTTTCCTAGCTCCTTATATGGACTCAACAGTTAACTTAGAGCTCTCTACTCTCTACCACATATCAGCGTCTCTCAGGGAAGCAGAGTGTGCCTTTATCAGGACAAGCTGCACAATAACAGAGTGCTGAACCACGTGGATGCTAACATGACGGATTAACACTTTCAAAACAAGAAGTCAGTTTTTGGCTATCAAGCACATTACAGACACATGTCCAACTACTTCAGAAAGCTAAATTGCAAAAGACAAGCTCTCATTTGTCAAAAACTGCCTCATAAATTGCAACGAAACATTGGGAGACTGGACAAGGTAGTGTCTAGTATATGGTAATGTATTTATATAACATAATTACAGCAAAAATGTATGTCATTGGGTTTTTAGAGTAAAACACTGGTTGTAGCTGAGCTGAGGTAGTCTAGAAAGCTGGTGTCCAAATCAGGACAGTGAGCAAAAGAGAGACCTGCAGCAGAAAGACCTGCAGAGTGAGTGTTCATAGGCAAGCTCACTGGGCCCAAGTATAGCTCATGCAACAAATCAGCTCCTGTAGAATAAAGCATGACATAAAAAACAAAAATGGAGACACCTAGTTCCTATGGGTCATTGCAATGTAGCCTACAGGAAAAATTGATGTTAGTATGAAACTAAAAAACATGCCTGGAAAGTGTTAGGAATGAATACTTGCATTTTACTCATCATGAGAAAGAGACTACATTGTGTTTGTCATGCGTTCCATTATTTCAGGGCTATTGTCTCACTTGGCTTCCTGCAAAATTAAGCCCAAGTAACACCATAGTGACATCATCTAACGTGTGAGCTCAGTGGTCTTTCTCTCTCTGTATAATGCATGTGACAGCATACAGATTGTTTTTCTAAAGCAAGAGTCGGTGATGAGAGACACAATATTCTGTGTGAAAACCAGTTTCACTGCAGTTGTATATAGCGTGAGAAATACAACCACATAAACCGACCAAGGCCAAAACTTTTTTGTCAGGCTCAAAACAATGTTTTTATCATTTGGCCTTGTTTAAAAAAATATTCTTTTTATTTGGCTTTTTATTGTGCTTTTCTTTCACGGGACTCTGG